ATCGAATGTCTCACAACCACCATTAATTCACACATACACACACACACACACACACACACACACACATATATACACACACACAATTAGCTAGCTATATACAATTTCTCCTAATTGGTGCCTTTGGAGCCAGTGACGTTAGCCTAATTGGTGCCTTCGGAGCACGTTGACAATTAGAAGTGGTTCATGGGGGCGGTAGCGGGTAATAGTATTCTCCTTTGGGATTTATGACCTGGTCGACCAAAAACCCCGCTATTTCCTCTTGAATTGCTTGTATGCGCTCCGTTGGTAGGAGCTTCTCCCGCACATCTCTGAACTGTTAAGAAGGAGATCAATATGCATGTGCATTAGTTGTGTGACTAGATAACGATAATGGTGTAAAAATTATGAATAGTGTTCTGACAAACGTACCCACTAGTCCTGTCTTTGAGATCTGCTCTTTTCGGACGCCATCATGTGAATGTTCTCGCAAACGTAGTATGCACACAAATTATTTCCCGGCGCCTGCTTCAGGGCCTTTACGAGAATGGAATTTGATCAGATAATAATTGATCAAGCATGATAATTAAAGAGATGGCAGCTAACTAGCTAGTACTACTTAATTACTTACCTTGGGTCGATACCATTTCAGCTTTCGTTTCCATTGGCCTGGAGTGACGCTGATGAACTTTGCCCAAGCCCTGCCCGCCGACTAAGAAAATGAATAAAGGGGTTATTAAATAGTTCATATCAGGAAATGACGAACTAAATAGGCCGAGATATAGTTAATAATGATTGAAATTACCTGTTGACTATCCCAAACAAGATGTTGTAGTCACTTTCTTTTTTAAGTAGTGAGTCCAGTATTTCAACTGTTCCTTCATCAGCTTTAATGATTAACAAGATCCAGTGAAATCTGTATGCACACACGTTTGCATGTCTTAATTAAGCGGGCATATGTAAGTAAAAACATGTAGCTAGCTAGTAGGCAAAAACAGAATTTGTAGTATAAGACAGTGTGACTCACTAGAAATTGTAAGGAAGTAATATATCTTCATTGGTATTGAGGCACTTGAAGAACTCTAGTATGCTTTCCTCTACACTTTTTTCATAATATGCATCTAATTTCCATGTATATTCATTAATGGTATTTGGGTCAATGAACCCAATGCCATAGCGTCCACCTTTTTTCATTTCATACATCTTCATCCTGCATAATACCACATAAAAGAATATAGTAAGGATAATTACAGGTAATGATTGATCAAAATGATCACTACAGCTAGCTTGAGACTTAAATTACAGAAAGAAATCACTTACAGACAATAGCAACTGACGATAGATTTGTCGAGTGCGTCTTGATTGTATAACTGAAATAGTTCTGAATACTCAACGGACACATCTTTCTCATGGAAGTAATGATCCTTCTTGACATTCACCATGAGGGACTCTCGATTGGAAATCTTGGTAATGTCCATGTACCATTGATGCAATTCATACATTCTCGTCGGGAGCATCTTGACCTCGTCTGGCTCGACCAAAGGTTGGCCCCGGACATATTTCCGTTTTATTTCCTCCTCTCTAAGCGGAGACATGGGCTCGATATCGAGGAGTTGTCCAACAGTGATCTTGAGGATTTCAGCCTGCCTTATATGCTCCTCGGTTATTACCACATCGCCCAGCTCGGGAACGTAAACGGTTTGCCCACAATAATATTGGGCGCGCCTACTCTCTTGTGTTGTTGGCACAACAAGCGGGGGGATTGATTGCGCCGCCTGTTCTCCTAGCTGGGGAACGGTTTCACCGCATTTTTTGCCAGCTGATTTGCTCGAGCTCGAGCTCGCCTCTTTCTGTGGACGTGCTCGATTTAACTTCTTGAGGTGGCGCTCATAGTCTGTGTCAATAGGCTTGGGAGCTGGTGGTCTAGCCATACGAATGAAGTGGTCAATCTTTTCCTTAGGCACTTCCTCCCTTGGCGGCGGTGGCGGTTTCGATGCAAAATGGGCTTCCACCTCGGCCTTCGATATGGCTGCGTTTTCCTCCTCGGACTTGTCGTAAGGCCTTTGCGGAAGAGGGGCGAGGCTGCTTGGACCATATTGAAATCGCTTGCCTCCGCCTGTACGTTCCGTCCTACCTCGACTTGTACCGCTACGCACCATAGCTGCGGCGGCTCTCTTCCATGATTGCTGAGGCGGCGGAGACGGCTGACGTGGCTAAGTTGGATGAGGAGGAGTGGCCTGAAGCTGTGCCGGAGTTGGAGGAGGAGTGGCCTAAAGTTGTGCCGGACTTGGAGGAGGAGTGGTCTGACGCTGTGTCGGTGGCCTTCGAAAGATGATGCAATCCTTTCTCCATAGGATGATACGATGTTTGGCCTCTCCCAGTGTGTGCTCCTCGTCACCTCCAGGAATGTCAAGCTCTAGCCCCGAATATTGGTCCACCACCTCATCAACCAAGACACGAGCATAGCCCGCTGGAATCGGGTTGCAATGG